ATACTCTCAGCATGCTTTCACTTTAAGCAGATGCTCATTCGGGTGAGAACATGAGATATTTTATGATCAAAACTTGAAATCTAGTCTTCCATGAGTGGTGTGTGTATGTATATATATATATATATATATATATATATATATATATATATATATATATATATGGATTTTTTCTCTTTTTTTCTTTAATTTTTTAATGTCAAGACTATGAATTTTTGTTTCTTACACTTTTATGCGTTAATTAGAATATATGTCGGAAATGTTGTTGACTTCAGTTGGTTTCCTTGATAAATCGTACGATCCTACTCAATGAACAGTCCTTTAATTTCAAGATGATGATAAAGCAAAATTATTGACAAAGCTGTGACAGTTAAAAGTAATTAACAAACATTTTAATCCGCGAGATAACATAGAAGATAGGGTATCTTTTTGTTTTTATTGACTGTGTCCTGGATTAATAGTGCACATGGGATTCCATTGATTATGAGTTTAATTTGTGATCACAATGTGAACAAAAGTTTGCGTTGCCTTGATTACTTTATCTTTCTAGTTTTGCGTTTTCAAGTTTTCCCACTTTCCCAAATGAATTGCTTTGCCTGCATATGCCTTCTTTCCAAAGAAAAATTAAAAGCTACACTTAACACATTTATTCAATATATACTTGACCATCCATTGCTTTTAGGGAGAAACAAAAAAATAGTCAAAGCCAAAACCAAAAACTTTTCCCAAGTTTCTATAAGGTGTATTACTATGGCTTTGCAAATGGTGATTCTGGCTACCCTTCTATCCCCTTCTCATGGTATAAGTCCCATTCTAGCTGGTTTGGCATGCTCATTTCTACTTAAACTCTCCTTCAGTGTCAGCCTTCTTCATCAGGTTGTATCGATATAAGCCAAGGCGTTAGGCTTTTAATATACCATGTGGGTCAAATAGCCTTTGGATTTGAACCAGCTCTTAGCAGCAGCAACAGGCAGCAACCGCAGATGGCAGCAAGCTCTTCAGATACTCTGCAGGAAAGTAGTCAGTGTGAGAAGGTCACCTGCATCTCTTGAGGCTAGCTCCCATGGCCTCACAATGCTTTCACTTTGACCATATAATATTGCAATAGGTTGCAAATTGGGGAATTTTATAATCCGAAATTCACTCTTTCATGTAAAGTGGCTACTACATTGTTTAGATTAGATGCTGTAGTTTTTTAATTTCTTCTGAATTTCTGCCTGTAGATGAATACCATGTTGGGAAACGGATACCTGTAGATGGACACCATATTGAGAATTTCTACCGGTAGATGGGTCTGTATATGAAAAGTTAATATCTTTAGCCCAGAAAAAAGGATCATAAAGTTCTAGCCCAAGATAAAGAAAAGGCCGAATTCAGCGTAGCAGAGATCAATAGTTTTTCCCTTGTGCCCTTTTGATGTTAGCATATAGCCCAAATCAAGAAAAAGCAAACAGGCTTAATTTGGTTCAAGACTTAAAACCCAATTGAAAATAGCCATGACCAGGTTAGGACCCACCAAATAGAAGCCCATACCGTCAATTTTACTTAACACGTGTAATAGCATAAAAAATTCAAAGAGGATTGTAGAAACTCATTTGAGACGTTTAAAATTTTTTATGAATGAACCGGAGATTAAATAATTGGTTCATACAATTATATTTAATAAATTTAAATTTTAAATTTAATATTTGTAATTCTTTTTATTCTCTTATCACAATCTATTTTATAAAAAATAAAAATTGCACTGTATAGGATAATACTCTTTATTTCTATGTAAGATAATTTTTATCACATTTGTTCCCATTATTATAAGCCCTCGATGCAGCCAAATAGCAGTCATACTAAGTTATTTTGGTTGGTTTATATATCTAAATATATAATGAGGATAGTTTGTATTTAAAGAAAAAATAAAATTATAAAAATGATTAATCATTATTTTAGTATGATAATTTAATCATTTTAAAGTAAAAATAATTATTTTTTAATTTATAAAATTAAATTAATATATCTTATTAAACTCTTAAATTTATATAAATAATTTAAATTATATAAAATTTATAAAAATAATTTTAATCAATAAATAATTATTATATTATAATTTTTCATATATCAAATAAAAAATAAAATAATATTATTTAATTAATATTAATCATAATAATACCTTGTCTTATCATAATCCTAAACTCCTTATGTTATACTTGTTCTCCCCAATAGCCTCCTTTTTTTTTTTTAAAGGAAATAGTGAGCAAGCTGCGGACAATGTCAAAGAATTCTGTTGACTTGTATTTGAATGAAAAGGTCCACGTATTCTGTTGCCCCGTGTCATAACCAGGGAAAGAAACAACTTCTTAAATTGAAATATATAGTATTAATTTAATAAATTGATATATATATAAATTTAAAATTAATATCTAATTAATTTAAAATTTAAAATTAAATATTTATAATAATTTTATTTTTAAATTACATTTAAAAAATTTAACAAAGAATTTTTTAAAGAATTTTTTGTTATATTAATTCATATAATTATTTTAAAGAATCGATATTTAATAAATTTTTATTTTAAATTTAAGCATTTATCAAAAATTTTATCTTAAATTACTATTTCTTTTGTTAAAATAAATAATAACAGAGAGTTTTTGGTTATATTTTTTTTTTTCTCTTTCCCAAATGATTAGTTCCAATACGAGAGGATTAAGAATTTTTGGTTATACCATTGTCTTTGGAATAGTTTGAGTAATTGAGAGGAACAAGTAATCAACCAACTCTATGATAAAAAACAAGAAGCTAAATTTAGTTTCTATAAATTTAAGAAACAATAGGAAGCAAAGAAAAGTAAAAATGGTAGGAAAATAACTCCTTAACGCGTTTCTTAAATACAATCCCAAAACCTTTACGAAGAAGTCAAAGAATGAGGGCCCTGAAATTAGAAATACAAACGCCAAGCTCAATCGTCGTTTACTTCTCAATGTTATGCTGCGGTGACCGAGTAATTCTGGTCTCAATCTCTTGACTTTTTCACTTTGATTTTGCCCACCCTCATCAATCCCTCCACGTGCCGCATTTATTATTTTTCTTTTCCAATTTCCACCCTCAAACTGTCCAATTTTCCTTTTTAACATACTTCGAGCGAATCTCCTCATATTTACTTTAAGTGCCACGATACTCAAAATAATAATCTTAAAAAATACCATTAAAAATATTCAAAATTAAGGTTACGTGAATTTTCTTTTTAAATATTCAAAATTAATCATGCAATATTTCTAATATATATATTTTATTTTTACGAATAATGCTATATACACATAAAAAAATATATAAATATAATTATTTTGTGATAGTATTTAAAAAAATAAAAATAGATGACTTTTTTTTAGATTTAAAAAATTAATGTGACAAAAAATCACTTATGTGTATATTTTTATATATATATATAAAATCTTTTTTTATTTTTATTCATTGAAAAACTATACTCCTAATAAATTTCACGTATTACAAATGTATTTTAATTATGTTCGTATATCTAGTTGTATTATTTATGCTATTGTCCAACTTCATAATTTCTCATATATTGGCGGCTGAAACATTGGGCAGTACGAACTCCTCGGTTACACCGGAAAGCTTGGATATATGCCAAACGAGCAAATGGAAAACGAAAATTTTCAAAATGCCCCCACCTGCCCTCCTTTAAAGGGCTTTCCTTCCCTGTTTCCTTCCACTTGCTTTTCGTATATAGATACTTTCCAAAGCTTAAAAGAGTTGCCATTCAAGGGAAAAAAAAATCAACCAAATAAATTTGTTAAAGGCAGTTGTTGAATATATTTACTTTTTTGGGGTTTCTTTTGGTTTTTACATTGTTTTGTTATTTGTTAACCTAAAAACTCAGAGAAGAAGAAAGAGAAGAGAAAGGAATGGCTTGGAGCGGAGAGAAGCGAAAAGAAGTTGTTACGTTCTTGAGAGTCTTGCTAGTGTTGGTGGCGGCGGTGCAAACGACGGGGTTGTATGGGGTTAAGCTGAAGAAGAAGGAGCACCGGAACGCTTACGCGACGATGATGTACATGGGGACGCCGAGGGACTACGAGTTCTATGTCGCGACACGTGTTTTGATAAGATCGCTTGTTAGGCTCCAAGTGGACGCTGATCTCATCGTCATTGCTTCCCTCGACGTTCCCCTCCGTTGGGTGCGCGCCCTGTAAGTCCCCACAACATCATTGCATTTCTTTTTTCTTTTTCTTTTCTTTTTTTTCTTAACGCATTTTTTTTTTCTTTTTGCTAAATAAATATTTTGCAATAAAAGTAGCAAAAATCCAGTCGGAGTCCAGCGAAGTTATAGTGGTTCACAGGATTCAGGACCACTTTCAGTATTGATATTATTAAACATTTTGAGTTAAGAATTTAAAATTTCAACCACGTTAGGTCCAGTTTAATTTTCCACGTGGTCTCGTTCCACTTACTGGTCAAGGTCAAATTTCTCTGTTTTCCTTAGATTAGTGATGAAGCTGACTTTACTTGCTCAACCACATGTTAAACCACGGATACAAACACTATGTATTGGAAAGTAAAGCTCATCCTTTAAGACTCAAAGACAGTAGGCTCGAAGGACAAATGCTGCACAAATGACATATATATTTATGTTTTCAATCATTCCTAAATCCTAATTCAAGCTTGGATAAATGCAGCGCAAATAATATCAAGAGGGAGGAATCGATAAGAACGGAGTTCCCCCACATAAGACACAGCCCACTATAATTTAATTATAGGGTGGGAATACCTGCTCCCGAATTTATTTCGGGTGGATCCAGCTGAATTATGAAGCTATCCACAATATTCAACTAATTAGTAACCATGTCCCCACGCCTAGTTTCAAGAAGCACAAGAAATGGTCTTAGATATTGTATTAGTCAAGGAATAGCATGCGAGAGTAGCTTGTTTGGTGCACAACCCCTTTGAAATGGCAATTATTGTTACATTGCAACGCCCATGGCCTGCTGCTACGAGGAATAGCTGCTTAAAGAATAAATTATGTTATCATTGTTTAGAATGCTCATTATTATAGTGAAAAATGTGGTGAAACAGATGTAACCGGCTCTGTTTTTGTGGTATAGGGAACAGGAAGATGGAGCAAAGGTGGTGAGGGTGGAGAACATTGATAACCCTTACAAGGGTCAACAAAATTTTGATAAGAGATTCAAGTTAACATTGAACAAACTATATGCCTGGAGTTTGGTGGACTATGACAGAGTGGTCATGCTAGATGCTGACAATCTTTTCCTCCAGAAAACTGATGAATTATTCCAATGTGGGCAGTTTTGTGCAGTCTTTATCAACCCCTGCATCTTTCATACTGGCCTCTTTGTGTTGCAGGTAAAATTTTCTTCTACATATGATTCATTTCGACTACTTTCATAAAGCAACTTTGTTTCCTAAAAAATATTTATCTGCAGCCATCATTAGAGGTATTCAAAGACATGATTCACCAACTGGAAACTGGTAAAGAAAACCCTGATGGTGCAGACCAGGGATTTATCGGTGCCTACTTCCCTGATTTGCTCGACCAGCCAATGTTCCATCCGCCCCTAAATGGCACCAATCTAGATGGGCAATACAGACTTCCTATGGGCTATCAAATGGATGCCTCTTATTATTGTGAGTAGAATAGTGAGGATCTAATCTATAATGATTCCATGCTTTGTTTTCATCTACAAATCTAACCTCAAAATATTTTTTATTTTTTTGCTGGTCCCCAGATCTTAGACTTCGTTGGAGTGTAACATGTGGACCTAACAGTGTGATCACTTTCCCTGGTGCACTATGGTTGAAGCCATGGTATTGGTGGTCTTGGCCTGTCCTGCCCCTAGGCATTGAATGGCATGAAAATCGTCGTCAAACTCTAGGGTAAGATAAAAAAAATATATACAACAGTGACAGATAAAAAAAATATCTAGCCACTCTGTATAATTGATGTGAGTTTTCAACTTCTTATACAGGTACGCAGCTGAGATGCCTATTGTAATAATCCAATCCATTATTTTTCTCGGAATCATCATGATGACACGTCTAGCACGCCCCAGCATCTCCAAACTATGTTACCGTCACTCAGACAAAAGCACATCTTTGATGCAAACAGGCCTAAAGGTTATAGCAATCTGGTCAATTCTTGCAGCCTATATAGTTCCCTTCGCCATTATTCCTCGTACAATTCATCCATTGGTAGGCTGGGCATTATATTTCCTTGGTTCGATTGCTCTTTCCTCTATTGCAATCAATTCATTTTTGCTGCCAGTCATTCTAGTTTCTGTTCCTTTGATTGGGATTTTTGGGTCTCTTTTGGTCATGGCATATCCTTGGTACCCCAATGGAATTATAAGAGCTTTAGCTGTTTTCGGCTATGCTTTTTGTTATGCTCCTATTGCTTGGGGTTCAATAGTTAAGGTCATGGCAAGGCTTCAGGTCTCACTTGAAAGAGAACAATTTTTCCCAATATTGGGTGAATCTTCACCACCATCTGGCTTTAACAAGTTGTATTGAGACTTACCAGCGATATAAATATTCAAGGAGACCAAGGACTTTAACAAGATTCTTTTTCTTTTGCCCGGGAAAAAAAAAAAAATATTGACAGAATTCGAAGACTTTGGTGAAAACAGAAGGTGATTGGAATTTCATTCAACATTTGTATGATTAAACGGATGATACATATTTTGATTATCGAAATTTCCTTTTTTTTTTATCTTGTCAATGTTGTTTAATTGAGCTTTCAAAAAAAGGCTTTTTCCTGGATTGGCCTTGGAGACTTGAAAAACGACTCAGCTTATGCGTAGCTCTTTTAAATTTTGAAGTCATAAACAAGACTTGATCTTTTCAACTGGTTATGTCCAACCAAAGCCCACTTTCTCCAAAGGGAAATCTTGCTGTTATTGGACATGTTTTTAGTTTTTATCTGGGGTTCAATGTTTGACCCACTAAAGCCCAATAACCCACCCATGTTCATCATCAACGAGTGTGATCAAATCGGAGACCAAAAATCCAAGCACATTGCAAAAGCACTGGATTTTCCCACGTTATCCACAAACCCAAGTTACATGGCCATGATTTTAGGGAAATCCTGTCGGGGCTCGCAATGTCTCTCAATAATAACCTCACAACCCTGACCAGAACGTTAAAAAGGGTATCCTAGCATCTGTTTAGTGGGTCCCAAAAACCTATAATCAAGCCAATCATCACCATCATATCATCACAATGACTTTTGATGTTTCTACTTTTTAGCGGTGATTTATTTATTTCGTCACAAACTGAAGGAAAAAAAAAAAAAAACCTATATGCACCAAAGTCAGGGCATTTTTGTCTCTACCCGTGATCCGGGGAAAGATTTTGTAGTCCCAACCCAACGTTCAAAAAAACAAGTGGACCCCATTAAGACCAGTCCAGTATTTTCTAGGCCAAAATAGTTAAATAAAGAAATAAATAACTATATATTGAGCCATGCCTGGACCATCATTCTTCATGCACGCCAACACCACCGGAAGCTGGACCGAAAAGTGATGGTTTCCTGTTAATTTATTTGTAGATCAAAAGGGAAAGATAAAGCATAATGCTGTGAATTATCTGGAGTGGTCAAGGAACCAGGACAATCACATAATACGTTGATAAAATATTAAATTTTTAGTTTTAATCATTATCCAACTTTAAATGCAAAGATAAATCCTTTTAACACGTATTGTTGATCATTAGTACATGATTACTCAATAAAAAAAATGGTAGCAAATATCATATAGTCCTTGATCATGTTGTTTGTAAATTGTAAACAGTCTAAAGTAAATATCTAGTCGGATAGAGCACAAAATCTATGGTGAGAATCCAAGTCGAACATGACAAAAATCAGAAACATATACTAGGATTTTATATTCGTTGGTTGGAATCCAAACTAGATATAATGCAAAGCCAAAGAAATACAGCCCCCACATTTAGACTGGTGCGTATAATGCAGCCAAGAGCTACCATAAAAGCCTACAAACTACAACTACAATCCCCCTCCTTGCAAGGGAACAAAAAAATGACCGTTGCAAACACCCAAATTTGTAGAAAATTGAGTTAATAAAATCAGATTCTTCAACTCAATTCACTCAGATGATAAATGTGTCTCTCTTTCTCTTAGTTTCTTGCATTATATATATAAGATCCTGAAAGTAAACCAACCTCATACAAAATTCCACATTGAAAAATTCTTTACATTTGCATGATTGTATCACCCTGTCTCTCTCTGGTTTCATCATTTCTATTCTCTGACTACTTAGAGTTATTTAAATGGAGTTTTTTAGTTCCTTCATTTGTTTTTTCTTCGCTTTCACTTCCTTCTTCTGTCCTGCGCAGCCATTAATATCAGTTGCAACGAGCTCAGTCGTCAATGCTACAGCTTGTACAACCAACTCAACAAGGCACCACCATAAGTGGATTGGACCCATCGGTCACCGGAGGATTACAGTTGACGTTAATGGATCAGGTCACTTCCGGTCAGTCCAAGATGCCGTTGATGCAGTCCCGGAGAATAATAGAAAGAACGTTCTAATTCAAATCAGCCCTGGATATTACATGTAATTATACACTTTATTTAATTTCTCTGCCTTATCTTAAGAGCCTTTAAAGCATCGATTTATGCTAAAAAATGAAGAGAAATATTCTTAGAAAAAATCTAAACACACACGTCAAACACTGTCTTCACTTTCAAAATGCTGATGATACTTGATATGGTGTGGTGGCGGTGCAGAGAGAAGGTGGTGGTGCCTGCGAAAAAGCCATACATCACGTTTCAGGGCGCTGGGAGAGACGTGACATTCATTGAGTGGCATGATAGAGCATGTGATCGTGGGGCCAACGGCCAACAGTTGCGTACTTATCAAACTGCTTCTGTCACTGTGTATGCTAATTATTTCTCTGCTAGGAATATCAGCTTCAAGGTAAATATAATTAGCAACGTACAACTAAACAACATATTACTTCAAATCATTAAACACAAAATTTCCCAGCACATTAACAATAATGAAAGGACAAAGTGCAAGTACCAGAGATCACCTCTCTACTAGCATTGCTCTGAAAACATTAAATATGCCACATATTTCTCTTCTTAATGCTGCATGTGACTTTATTTGTCGGTATTTATTGATTTTTATTTGAGTACCATATAGTATCATTTTTTTGGTTCAAAATAGCTTTGTGTGTTTGTAGAATACAGCACCGGCACCCATGCCAGGACTGCAAGGATGGCAAGCAGTGGCGTTTCGCATATCGGGCGACAAGGCATACTTTTCTGGCTGTGGATTCTACGGTGCACAAGACACTCTTTGTGATGATGCTGGTCGTCATTACTTCAAGGAGTGTTATATCGAAGGTTCAATTGACTTCATCTTTGGAAACGGTCGCTCCATGTACAAAGTAAGAACTTTTATTTTGAATATATCCTGTCTACCATGCAAAAACAAATACTAGTACAGTAAATGCTCGTGACTTCTGAAAGACAATTTCCATATTCAAAATTTATAAGTTGATAAATGAAAAGGACGTTGCATTATTCTATAGCAAGTCTGACTCTCTTGTCCGTAAAGCTGAAAAAGGAAGAGACCTTTCTCTCATCAACAGACGTTTTTGTCTGTCAGAAGGTAGTGGTACCCAACTTGCCAAAAGAGGGCTGCCAAATACTAAGTAAAGAATCATAATTAAAAGAGTAGACACTAACTCGCCACCAAATTGATGGTTTAAATGCTTGAGAGCCTAAATTAAAATATTGGGTTTGACCTCTTTCCTCGTGACATTGCAATTATAATTCAATCCAGCTTTGCAATGGCATTAACATCTTACACTGCAGAAACCATTTTTCATAAGCATGGCAACATCTCTTCTTTACTTCAGCCATCTTCATCGAATCAAAGAGCAAACAGCTGCATAATCTGTTTGAGAACTCTCTCTCTATCTTTTCATTTTTTAAAAATATTTTCCTTGTTAGTATTTTAGTACAGTGTTTATGTTCACTCACGGTTTGTTTGCTTGATCAGGATTGTGAACTACACTCAATAGCCACAAGATTCGGATCCATTGCGGCCCACGACAGAAACTCACCAGATGAGAAGACAGGCTTCGCTTTTGTGAGTTGCAAGGTTACAGGTACTGGACCGCTATATGTGGGACGAGCCATGGGTCAATACTCGAGGATTGTCTATGCTTACACTTACTTCGATGACCTGGTTGCTCATGGTGGCTGGGACGACTGGGACCATGTCAGCAACAAAAATAAGTACGTTCCCTCCCCTTGTAGGACCCAAATAAATAACAAGGGCAAGATCTGATTCTCATTAGTCAATAGTAATGAGTGGATGATTCTAATACGTTCCATAGTCAACAAAACATAAAGATAGAAGAAATCAAAGATACCAACATGATAGATTATCCAATATAGGCAGACATAAAAGAGAAATGATTGAATTTTGATATAATTGAGTCAAATTGGCAATGCCTTTGTTTTGTTCCCTTTGCAGGACCGTGTTCTTCGGGGTGTATAAATGCTGGGGTCCTGGAGCTGCAGCCGTTCGTGGAGTGTCATGGGCCAAGGAACTGGATTTCGATGCAGCCCATCCGTTTCTAGTCAAAAGTTTTGTCAATGGGAGACACTGGATTGCACCCTGGGACGCTTAGCCGAAGACGACAAACTCCATTTCCATATTCCAATTCATTAATCCAATTCAATTTAATAAGCAATCAACTTACATATTGTAATGACACGATGTTCTTTCATTCAATTGATTCTTTAAAATTTAATACATTTATCCAGAGAAATTCTTAGTTATGCCGGGGGGGAATATTTGTTTCTGTCATTTAAAGAATCACCAAGCAAATTGCACACTGAACCTTGTTCATAATTCATAAACCTCTTTTCCCATAATCATACATATGCTTAACAAGAGACTAGGCTCAAAATATTGATCATCTAATTTCTTGAAGGATCAAATAACTTAGAAGTTAAAGGAAAGCTACTTTATTTTCCCGAAACATTAAAAGAATATCTATTAAATAGAAGAAAACATAGTCTGCAACAGGATATTTGCCTCACATTATACAACAGTTTTGCTGTGAATCGAGCATCTCTGGGGATCTGCAAGAGTAAAAGTGTCTGTTAGCCATGAACACTAGGCAAATGCTTTGTACGTCAAACCAATAACAGAAAAATTCATGCAACAGTAAAATAGAAACTGCAATCTCTAAATAAGCACATGTATTACATTGCTAGAATGAGTAATATCTCAGTCAAGCTAATTTGGAACAGAGAAAATCCTCAGGTGTCTGCTGTAGTTTTGGGGGAAGTAAAATCAAGGACTGACCACCTTTTGGCTAGGAGACTTAAAACCAAAAGCAGGCCATTCTACCCCACTAACATCTGATCTGAGACCCATAGTGCCACCAACATCATACCAAATTCCCAAAATTCCACAGATCAACAACTCCCAACAATTGATTCATGATTCGAGATACCATATGGTGATCCTTTGGAAACAATCCCAGGTCATTTTATCCTGCTAATTGGCGCCCTTCACCAAAATTTAAAACTAAAGGAAAAGGGACTATAATTTTCATAAATAAAGGACACGCAGACTAGTAGGTTGGACAAAAAGCAGAATATTACAAATGAATGGTTGGTTTAGATTGCTGCAAAAGAAAGAGCACTTACAGCTGGCCAAGATTGGATAGATCAAATTCAGGAGCAAGCTCTTGCACAATATCATTTGGTGGCTGACCACACTCTTGCATTTTTTGCATGAGGTCAACAATCCTGGTGAAGTTATTAGGATCATTTTCATAAACACCATTAAGCTCCTTTATCAGTTCATGTTGGTGGGAGTAACGTTCATATTCTTCTTTGCTCAAACTAGCTTTATGCTCCTGTAACCACTGTGGGTATCTTTCTCCAATTTCCTTCATGGGTTCATGAAGAATCTCCTTAGACAAAAGTTGTTGCATCATAGTCTCTACAATCGATTCCATGTCCTGGTCAAAACAAAGGAATAATTAAGTACCCATTCCCTCGCATATGCTACTAATAAAACCTAAAACCTAAATAAATTGATAACATAGGCTGAGACTATGACCAACATATTAGAAAATAAGATATGCATATAAATAAATGTATGCCCTTGATTGTTTAAAGTAATAAATGCCCATATGTAAGCATGTATGAGGAATATGCTTGTCCATGCAAGATTGCATACAACAATCAGTAACTTATAATGCTATTTATCACTAAATAACTCAATTAGCTATATAACTCAACAAATTTAAAAGTTTCAGATGCAACTCAAATAGGACAGGTTACCCAATGAAAATCTATCTATTTTGGACATATAACATGCTAGGATTGCCAAGCATGTGAAATTTTGAGAGTGATGCATGCTAAAACACAATGATCCCCTCCTTAAACCAAACCTTTTTATTAGGGCTTTTCCCAATGCCTCCTCCGTTGCAACAAAGGGGCAATCATTTATACACACAAAGCCCCTTGACTGAATCTCATGTAATATGTATCAACACATGCTGCCCTTTTCTTTCAGGGAATGTTTTTAGGCGGGTGGGAGGTGCGTTCAGAAGTGGCCAGTGGAGATTTATTTCAAAGTTTCATGAGTTTGAGGCACTTTACTGGGAGCAGATATAGAGGACACCATCATACTCCTATATGACGTAAGCCATATAATGCACATTTCTCAAATGCTCAGAACAAATCAAGCAAGCACAAGAAAGGTGGCATCAATTAGAAGCGTTCATGAGAGAGAAAAATGCCAAAGTCTCATTTCTTTCATGCCTCTTTCAAAAAAACCCACCGTCCACCCCACCAACAAAAAAGAAAGGAGACAAACAAACTGTCTTGATTATCGACTCAGTACTAGAAAGCAGTATCCAGTGTTGATGGTCAATGTTCAAGACAGTAAATGTCACTCAATTGACTGGATAAAATGCTACAAGTTTTTTTTTCAAAAAATATTGGAATAAAGTCTCCTTCTAAAATGTAATAGTAATAGTCAAATTCCAACTCAAGGATCAACCAGGACCTGCTTCAGTAGTAAATTTTAAATTTTAAAGCTAATGAGCCAAAACTAAACTACAGCAAAAAACAAACTGCAGTGTGCAATATCTACCTGACATTCCACAAAACAAAACAACAATACGAAAAAATTATAAGAGAGATAAACAAATTCTTAAAAGGAATATGAAAACACTCAAGCAAATATACCTGAGACCCAGCAAGCTCCTCAAACTGCTTGACCCAATCCTCCATCATTGCATCCTTACCGAAATCATCTCCGCCAGGTTTCGACATTGATTCCAATCCTTTTACAGTCTCTCTGGTCTGTTCTCTCAGTTTATCAAGAGCCTCTGTGACATGAGATTCCCTGGAAACCTTTTGCTTTCCCTTTTTCTTGCTTTTCAAGTCAGGTAATCCCATTCCTAACCCTTGAACCCCACTTGGTAAAGAACCAGATTCTTGCTTCTTTTCTTCAGGATCTCCTCCTCCTGCCCTACTAACCAAATATAAAGCTAAATGCTTCGAAGAAATTGTAACAAAAACTTAACCTAGGCAAAGCACCAGAGTTAACATCCCAGATATTAATAAAATACCTAGCTTTTGAGGAAAAAAGGCTAGAAAAAGGAAGGAATTTTAGCTTGGGGGCAAAATTTTGGACCTAAAACAAATAGCGTATTCAAAATTTTAAAAAACAGATTAATATTTTCCATATAAAAATACATTCAGAGAGAGAAAAAGAGAGTACCTTTGAGGAGGAGTGGTAAGGTTGAGAGTCTGGAAATCATCCAAAGCACCTGAAAAGAAAAGGGTTCAAATTTCAGAAGCTAAAGAAACAGAAAATTAAGGGGAAAAAAATTAAACAAAGATTTTAGACAAAGAAACATACTATCAAGAAGTTGGTCTAAATCCTCAAAGTGGTCTGCCATTTTTGCTATCAGAAACTTCGATTCTTCTGTCTCTCTATATAGGTAACGTCTAATTTTGTTTTGTTTTCGAGGGATTTTGGTTGCGATGAATTGGAATGGAGAGCTAACAGGCGGTGCAAGCGATATGAATTCCGGGTCAGGATCCAACGGTTAAGATTGCTTGAAGAGGTAGACTACTTTATTAGATCTTTCTTTTGTCTTTTTGTTTGTAGGATCAAAAAGATTAAAATATCTCAAAAAATCTTGCCCTCCAACCTTAAGAATTTGGAAGGATGGTATTTTCAATCTTCCCTTCTTTTTTTTTTTTTCCAGATTTTATATTTTCAACAATATTTATTTATTACATTATTCTATACTCCAATTTTTTAGGAAAAATTAAGAATTTGTTTTGATAATTTTAAAAGATACACCAAATATATTAAATACTAAAAAATTTATCATTTGATACATGACGAATTTTTTAAATTTTATGAACGAAATTAAAATATTATTATGTCTTTTTTGTTATTATATGAAGTAGCATTTTTAATCTTGTGAAATTCAAAAATTTTTGTACAATATATTAGATAATTTTTAATGTTAATACCATTAAGCGTTATATTTTATTTTTCATTATCGTGGAGTTTAAATTTTTTTTTTTCCATTGAAGAGGATTGGCTTCAATTTCATTAACCAAAAGCCTACATAAACGAATCCAAGCCATTAACAGAAGCATCTAAACACGAATACTTTTTGGGTTTGTAGATTTTACAGTTTTTGTTTAAACCAATTTATTCAAAGTTAAACCAGAAATGAAGATAAATGCTTCAATGGAAGTAAGGAATGGGATCAACATAGTGCATGCTGCATTGAAAAACTAATATGAAAAGTATATAACACTACACTACCCATTATTTCGTGTTCACATCTTTCACTTCCCACATGCTGCTAAGAATAAGACATATGTATATGTCAGAAACATCTGAGGAGAAGAGCCAAACAGAGAAGGGAATTTTAAGATGTTTAAATATGGATTAAACATCAGCTTGTTTCTAAATCTGATTTTTGTAAAACAAATTACTGAAGAAAACAATCCTAATATGAGTGTAAAAAATTTTACATTCTCTCAGATTTTTTTTTTTTTTAAAAGTAGTAAGTATTTGCATAAGCAGAGATAAATGAGTTAAAAGTTTACAAGCATGCATCGGAGCTCAACCTGCCTTCATTTGCTTTCAGGTCTGATGTCATTATCACCAGCAAATTCAAGACCATAGGACCAAGCAACTGGGTCCTGTAATTCTGCTATGAAGTATAGCAAATAATTCCCTTTTCAGACTCTGAATTAACATTCTTAAAGCTAGTTTGACTGAATAGACACGGCCACTTCATTGTAGCTGAGCGGTATCAAGAATCAGCTGCGCACTATGCTAGCACTCTCAGCAGCAATCTGGTTGGGATTTTGTTGATTCTGGAGATTCAAACCTGATGTTACTGGTGCTGCTTTGTGAGTTTGTGGAGGTATGTAAGCCTCTGTTGCAAGATGTGAACCAGGTGAGCCACGAACAGGCTGTTGATCGCTTTGAGGAAGCAAAAGGGATTTTGCAGTTGGGTTAGAGGGGTAAAGAACTTGAAGTCCCACAGGCCCAAATTGTTTAAGCTTAGCAGTGTGTTTTTCCCCAGAAAGATGGCAGTCAAAAACATCTTGAGTATCACACTTCACATTGCACAGGTCACAGATAAGAGGAATTACAACCTTTCGTTTGCAAGGTCCAACTTTCAGCCTTGGAGCTTCTAAACTTTTCGTGCACTCTCCTTCCTGACCACCTTGCATCTTCCTCTTCATTCCAAGCCTCTGGCTGTCAAAACAATCAATCCTAGGAGTTTCTTCCACAAAGGCTGCAATATGTTTCTTCTCTCCATTAATCTGTTGTATAGGCTCCACAGAATTTTCAACACCAACAGATTCTACTGGCTTTTTCTCCTCATTTTCTTGGGCACTGTTGGGCTGCTGAGTTCCTTCATTCTCAAGCTTGGCTGTAGGTTTCTTCCCATTCTGTTTTTCCATCCCAGGTTTGACAGCAATCTTTGACTCTTCATTTTTCTGCAGGTTCCTTTTATGCCTCTTTCCATTCTTGTGTTGCTCAAGGATTTCCAAACTGGTGCACTCAACCCTGCAAAGCGCACACCATGCACCCTGTGGTGGCTGTCTGCTTGAACGAACTTTCTCCTCCATCGGTATAGACCGAGATGCCTTGGGAGGCACTGCAGTTTGAGCAGTTTCTTTAGGTAAAACAGCCAGGGGTTCTGATTTATCTGTAGATTTTATATTCTCATTGTACGGCTCTTGCTGTGAGGCTGATGATGCTCCATGTTGTTTGAAGCATTGAGGACCACCTCTGCCCTCACCACTTCCTGTTTCATGGTCACCAGTCTTGGGAGAGCACTGGCCAATATATCCCCTGCCATGACGTCTGAAGGATCTAATGCCTTCTCTACCACCACTATTATATGGAGACCCACTAGCCTGCAAAACAGGTTCTAAAGGTTTTCAAGAACATAAAGAATCAGTCGAGCCAATGCTCATTACTTAAAGAAGGATAAATAATGTTTAAAGTCATGGGGAAAAGACCTACACAAATCAAGATTAATTAACAATGTATTCATCATAATAGATATGATTAAGTAAGAAGCATAAATTTCTTCATGTCTTAAATGGTTGCTTGATCCAACATGAACAAAAAATGGCGTCACAGAGCTTTACACAGCAGCTTTTGATGGAATTCCAAACATAATGGTTTTCACTTTTCAGAAAGTAAAGTGGAGGATGAATTACAGTGGTGATTTAACTTCTCTGAATTCATCAAAAAGAAATTAACTTCTGTGGAAGAAAGATTCTCATGGTCAGTTCCTCACAATATTTCAACCACCCTAGACTCTATGATGATATTTGCATAAATGACTTCCTAATGTGCTGATATTCACCAATGATAAAGTCTTTTTACCTTTGTGGGACAAAAATCTGCAGTTACAATTTTTCTATCAACAGTGCATTTGAAAATCACTCCTTAAGTTCACCAAGAAAGAATAGTCTAGAATTCAAATTCACTGACATTTTTACTTAACCATAAGAACACAGGTCTAAATATTTGCAATGGCAAAATACAAAGCTATCTTACAAACACTTCTCAATCCCACCCAGCATGATAGAGTAATCATGCAACCCTGTTAGAATAGCATCCTCTGCCAGGATCCACACAGTCTTAGACCACATTAAACCATTGTTTCAGTTGCTAGAAACAAAACATAGAAACCAAAAAATATATACCTATTCGTTCCAAAGCCAAAGAGGACTCCAAGAATTCATAACCATGATGAACTGACAATATAGTGGCTTCAAATTATCCTATTTGGCGAGTGAAATGATTGAGCCTACTGTTTGACATTCTCTCAAAATTCAAAAAAATTGAAGGCAACTATTAGAGATTAATTGAAAGAAATGGTCACTAGCAGTAGCAGGTTATCAGACAAGCATGCTTTCAGAAAAAGGGTCAAGCTCATAATTGGCTTATTAGAGTCTTTTAACGAAACCAAGTGTAAACCAATACCTTTTTCACCTTAAGTGAGCTAACTACAAATTTCACCTAAAATTTAGCATTTCCTTCAGAACAATCTAACTCCATATTTAAACAGGTAAGTTCAAAAATGAAATTGGAGTGTAGGAAGATTACCATTTTCTAAAGATGCAGTCGTCTATCACTCAACAAGGCCAAATTTTTATTCATTAAGGGTTATAAAGTCAAAAACTTTATTCCACCTATAAATGGAAACGTTTAAAGCCAAAAATAGAACTTCCATGGCTTCTAAACTCTAATACGGTACCCAATATAGTGTAAAGTTACCAAAATAAATTGTACAGAAAACGAAAAATTATTAACGAAAGAAAAAAGTAGAGGCATGATTTTTGAAAGCAAGTTATACAAATAAAAGCATGAAATTTCTAAAGAATGAAACCAGAAACAGAATAACAATTAATGAAACATAGAATCGAATAACCGTACCGGCGGCGAAGGCATTAAAGTCGGTCCATGGTGCAGCAGCGGCGCCGCAAAGTAGGGGTGCATTCCAGCCGTTGCTGTCCGCTGGAATTGCGCCAACTGCGACAGGGCAACCACTGCGGCTGCAGACACCGGGTTGAGTCCCACCTGAGCCGTCGTCCAAACAGAATCCGCAATTCGCGCCATGGTATTAACCGAAACTCCAACTGATTCAAGACTCTGCTGATGTGGCACTTGATAATAAGCGTAACCAGGAGGACCATTATAGGAATAGTAATGTTGAGGTGGTTGTTGTTGGTTTTGTTGGGGGTAGTAACAAGATTGGGTTGATTGGTTATGCAATTGTTGATGATCATGATTAGGCAGCCGTTGCTGTGATTCTGGAAGAGAAGAAGAGAGGTCCATGGATAGTATATGGACTGTTGCGTATTGGAATCGGAAAAAAATATTAAAGGTTTTGGAGGATAGCAGACTTGACCCGGAGGCAAGCTTCTGGAATGAATTATAGCAGAAGGGAGGGGGCGGGCGATGGAAAGGCCAAATGCGCAAAGAACAGGGAGAGGGAATTTATGTACAAACTCCCAGAAACTCCGTGCTTAGCGTTGATGGCTTCTCTGGTACTGACAAGTGGAAAATTTCTTAGTTTTTTTCCTGTTTTTTAGTTTTTTTTCTCTATAATCTGTTTATTATATTAAATCCTTTTTAAATGGATTCAAGTATTGTTCTAAAATAATTTTCATTAAGTAAAAAATCTAATAACAATAATATATATAAGCACCTAAAAATTTGAATGGACGAAAGTAGAATATATATGTTTATTATATTTTTGAATTTATTTTAAATTTTTTTATTATAAATATCAATAAATTTTATTTAATTTGTAAAATTAATAATTTTATTTCATCAAAATTTTTATTAAAAATAAAAATGATGTTAAAGTTTACATTAAATTTTTTATTTCAAAATTTTAATTTTACATTTAAAAGTAATAAATGTTATATTCTCTTATATATTATGTACATGAGATAAGAATATATGTTAATAAAATAGGAGTTATGAACGAACTTGATTTATTTTTTTTAATTTCAAAAAAAATTATTATCAATAATTTGGATTTTTGGTCCAGAAACTTCGAACATTCCAAACCCATTTGGAGTTTCTGGCCCAACTTGTGTAGATCCATGTTGGCCCGCCATAATTTGGCTTTGGTTCAGGTTTGTTTTACTCACAGCATTGATGGGGTTTTTTTTTTTTTTTAAAGCATAAAATAAACGGTCAAGAAAAAGTATACGTCAAAAGCACAGCAACAAACGAACAGCGCAATCCAAAGCCGAGGAAAGAGTAGTGCGAAATGGCGGCTGCTGCTTTTGCACCGGTCATTCCTCTCCGGTTCAAATCCTACTGTACACTCCGTTTCCTTTCCTTCTATTCCCAAACCCTAACAACGCCTCGCCTTTTCCCGCCACTTCCTCGCCGACCCTTCCCCTTAACCATTCCTCGTAAACGATGCTTCCGCCCCGTTATTTCCCCTGCGCTGCAGTCTGGAGAAAGGGCAAAAATAGAATTCCTAGAAAAGAAAGTCGGTGAAACTGGGACTACAGTCAGCGAGTTCAGGCAGAAATTGAAAATCGCCCACATAAAAGGAGGACCCGATGAAGGTTTGGATCGGGTCGGGCAGACTCTAGTGGTTATGGGTTGGGTTCGGACTCTCCGGGTTCAAAGCAGCGTTACATTCCTTGAAGTTACAACGAAAAAAAATTTCCTTTCTTTTTTTTTTTGTTTTTCAATTAATTTCTGTGGATGATATTGTATTTATATTTTATAGGTAAATGATGGTTCATGCCTTTCAAATATGCAATGCGTGATGAATTCAGATGCTGAAGGTTACGATCAGGTACTGTCAGAACGAATAATTATGTTTAACTTTTCTTATCCATAAATTTTAATTTAAAAAATTCTTGTTTTTTCCATTTCAGTATTGATATTTTAAATTTTTTTAAAGACATTATTAATCTGTTACAGTTTCTTAGCACTTTTTTGCAGTGTGGATGCTTCATTCCTATCACATTCGATGTGTTGTGCAAAAGTGAAATTGTCTGTTTGTATTTGGGGTTTATCTTTGTTGTCAATTATTTACATGTTTCAAGCTTCTAGGTGGAATCTGGCTTGATTGCAACTGGTGCATCCATATGGGTGCAAGGAATTTTGGTGGCTAGCCAAGGATCAAAGCAGAAAGTGGAATTGAAGGTTGACAAAGTTGTTGTGGTACGTTAGACTTGCCCTCTTATCTTGTTGAAGTTGATTATTGTGAAATGTAGTAGTTTATCCATCTATTTTGCCTTGAGAATTCACTCAAATGGTCTACATCAACAAACTGTCGAAGTTGCTTTGTGGAATCTGAAAATTATTATTCCTTTGGACTTAAATTTAGTAGAGAAGGAGACAATTGTTAAGTT